ATAACTATACAAAGTACTGCATTCTGTATAAAACACTTCGGGACACTGCCTGAAACATTAACTTTCCTACTCCTCTGATGCTGCCTGGCCTGCTGTGTTCCTGCAGCTCCACACTATGTTATCTCTGACCCCAGCGTCGGCAGTTCTTACTATCTCTTCGGGACACTGCTAGTTGTGAAAGGCACCATTGTTATGTCCTAGCATATTGTCAGCTTCAAACTAATTGCTGTATTCTTAAAACTGTTCACGAAGACTGTTAAAAGAGATCACCTCACTTCTTTTGTGCAATAAACACTTCCCTGTCCCCAGGGAAGATTAAAGGAACCATCCAGTCTGATGCTGATCCTTCTGATACTGCTCGGCCTGCTGTGTTCATCCAGCTCTACACCTTGTTATCTCTGATGCTGACTCAATGTCTTTTTCTCAAAGGCATTCGGAAGAGTAATTTCAAACCGAATGGCTCATTCAGAAGCACAGATTGTGGCTATCTCAAACTCCCAAAGTATGAATGCCCAAGCACTGGATGTACAATCAACCTAAGCATCAACATTATTTGGAAAAGGACTTTGAACTAGTGGATCACACATGGTGATATGGCTATGCTCTTTAATAAAACAAAGAACAGAAGATACTGTAGATCTGAAAGCATAAATTGCTAGAGAAACTCAGTGGGTTTGGCAGCATCTGTGAGAGAAAGCAAAGTTAACATTTCAAGTCTAGAAAATAGTCTAGCTCTATTTTTGCTTTTAAAATTAATAGCAAGAAGTTGCTTAAAGACAGAGTTCCATCAGAAAGTCATCAAACCAGCAGCAAGTCACAAAGCCAGCACAAAAGTGCAGCAAGTAGTCAGGAAGGCTAATGGAATGTTGGCCCTTATTTCAAGGGGGTTGGAGTGTAAGAGTAGGGAAATCTTACTGCAACTATACAAACTGCTTGTTGAGATCACATCCAGTGTACTGTGAGCAGTTTTGGTTCCCCTATTTAAGCAAAGGTATCATTTCTTTGGAGGAAGTTCAGAGAAGATTCACTAGGATGATCCCTGGTATGGAGGGATTATTTTATGAATAAAAGCCAAAAAGGTTGGGATTTTACTCATTGAGTTTGGAAGAATGGGGTGATCTCATTGAAACATAGGATTCTTAAGCGCTAGACAGCGTAAATGCTGAGAGGATGTTTCACCTCATGGGAAAGTCTAGGACTAGAGGGCATAATCTCAGTACAAAGGGTGCTGATTTAAATCTGAGATGAGGAGGAATTTCTTCTCTCACAAGGTTGAGAGTCTTTGGAACTCCTTGCCATAGAGAGCTGTGGGGGCAGAGTTCTTGTGTACATTTAAGGCTCAAATACATAATCTTGCTCAGTAGGGGAGTCAAGGGTTGTAGGGAAAGGGCAGGAAAGTGGATGTGAGGAATGTCAATTCAGCCATGATCCTATTGAAAAGCAGAGCAGGCTCGGAGCGCTGAACAGCATTCTTCTGATCCTATTTCTGATGGCTTTAAGGCAGACAATATAATAAACAGTAATATCTTAAGAATAGAAGGGCTCTCCAAAAACTGTATCAATGTTGAATTTACCAATCTCTAGGAAATTTGACTGCAAGCAGCCTTTAAGATTAATGAGAATACCCTGCTTTTCCAGTTTGTCACTTCACCTGAAGCATTGATTCATCTAAGGAATTACAGGTCTATCACGAACAAAAACGGACAATTATACAGTATGTTTTACTTCATCTGAATTGAATCTTTGTGTGTAATTTAGTGTATATGAATCAAATGATTTAGAAGTTGCATTTTCTAAACATCTGAGGCAACCATGTGGTAATAAATATCCACTTTTGTCTTAAAACACATAAGATAACTTGCTGCTGTAGTTACTTATGCTGTGGCAATCACACTGAGGGTAAGCAAACACACATACATCACATGTAAACGCACTGACGATGACACTAAGAAAACATAAAATCTGTCCCTGATGTTATATAAATGTCTCTTTCCTTTTGACTGTGAATACTAAAGTAATCATTAGATTTGCTTTCTTTACTTTTTTTTGTTTTCATGATATAATTTGGGCAGTGAAACATTACAGAAATACAGGAACAAAAACAGAAGTTGCTGGAAAAGCTCAGCAGGTCTGGCAGCATCTGTGAAAAAAAATCAGAGTTAATGTTTCGAGACTGGTGACCCTTCCTCAGGATGTTCCTGAAGGATGACAGTTTCCTTCCCTAAAAGGACATTCATGAAACTGATGGGTTTTTCCAACGATAAACAATGGATTCATGTTCATCATTAGACTCCTAGTTCCAGATGTTTACTTAATTCAAATTTGCCATCTGTTGTGGCTAGATTCGAGCCCATGCCCCCAGGAATGAAAATAGACTATTTCAACCTAATCACGCTACTCATTTAGATCAATGCTGATCGACATCATCTCTATTAGTTCCAAAGTTCAATTTGAGGTTACCTAACAAAAATCTACCAATTTCCACTTAACTTTCAATTCACCTCATCTTAACAGCTTTTTAGAGGAATGAGTTCCAAATATCCACTATCATAGAATCCCTACAGTGTGGAAACAGGCCCTTCGGCCCAACAAGTCCACACCGAACCTCAGAGCACCCACCCAGACCCCTCCCCCTATAACCCACCTAATCTACACCTCCCTGAACACTATGGGCAATTTAGCACAGCCAATCCACCTAACCTGCACATCTTTGGACTGTGGGAGGAAACCGAAACACCCGGAGGAAACCCACGCGGACACGGGGAGAATGTGCAAACTCCACACAGTCGCCCGAGGCTGGAATCGAACCCGGGTCCCTGGCGCTGTGAGGTAGCAGTGCTAACCTTTGCGTGAAGACACATTTCCTGACTTCAATCTTTGATGGCCCAGTTTGAAATATAAGATATGCTCCTCCTTGCCAACTTTCCCCAGAAAGCAGTTTGTCTCTCTCTCCACCCTATCATGTCCTTTAAACTTATAATCAAATACCCCAATTAAATTGTTCCTTAATCTTCTATACTCAAGGGAATTCAAGCTTCATTTATGTAACTCGTACTCATAATTTAATACATTAACCCCCCCCCCCCAATTAATCTGGCCAATACAACGAGGCATGGTACCCAGACGGAAATCAGTTTTCCAAATGCATCCTAACCAGAATTTTTAAGAACTGTAGCATAACTTCCATTCCTTTGAATTCCAATACCCTTGAAATAAAAGTTAATATTCCACTGACCCTTTTAAGCATATTTTTGTATTTGTACACCAACACTAAAATTTTACTGCTTCTGCGCAATGTCTAGCTTCTCAATATTTAGAAAATAATTTAATAATTCTTCAGATCTGCCAGACCTGCTCAGCTTTTCCAGCAATTTTTGTTTGCTACTGATCTCCATTTCTCAATTTTGCCCACTCAGTTGTTCTATCAATGTGCATCTGCAATTTTCTGCTCCAACCTGTATTACAACTTTAATGACAACCTTTTGTTCTCATTAAGATAAAATCTGTCAGCAGGAAAGACAGCACTTTCTCCAGCTGCTTATTGAATGCTATGCTACAGTTTCAATAACTGATTACAGTATTTCATATTTCACTTGCAGAGTCACAATTTATCTTCAGCAGCTAGAAATCGCATAGTCCAAGTCAAATTGCCAGTTTCAGCATCAAGCATTTGAAAATCTTAAATCACGTAAGAACTTGACCCCGACAATTGACTAATAACTATCTACAGCCTGAGAATAGCACCCACTAGTGTACCAGTTTGGTTTTTTTTCCATTTCTTACACCTTCCAGCTTGATTATAGGTGACTTAATTGAAGTGTTTAGACAATCAGAATAACACATAATGGGGTAATCCAAAACAAATGGACAGAAACCTAAAAATAGTGCTAATCATGAGCTATTTCTCTGTCAGAAGACCTCGTGACTTCCTATTTCATCTTGAAACCAAACAAGTGCTTTGCAAGTGTTGAAAAAGAGGAAAGATATCTGTCAGCCTGTACCAAAAATCCTATCAACAACAATAATGACAGATGATCAGCAATATCGGTTTAGGGATAATAATTAGTCAGGGAACCAGCAGAATACATGTTTTCTTTGAAGGTATGGGATCTTTCGCATCTTATTAGGGCAAGGGGATATAATGCTTCATCTCAAAGATGAATTTTTATGACATCTTCAAATCTACAAGTGTTTTTTTTCAATCAACAGGTAGGATATCAAAGAAAAAGGACCAATGATATTAAATGAAATTTGGGTGCAGATCAGGCATTTTCTAACTGTACAGTGGAACAGGCTTGGGGGCTGATGAACTAATATTCCTTCATCTTGATTTGCACTATCAATTTGGAGACAGTTACATTGCATGCTTGTGTCTATTAGGTAGAACATTGGGAGTCCTCAAATTGGTTCCAAAGAACTTTTTAAATGAGAATAAGAGCCCCTCATCCTACCAATGTATGTGAGATGAAAAGGTCAGTGTACCATCCAGTTCTCAAATGTGATTGTTTTTGGCACTTTTTGGTTGATTTTAAAACATTTCCTACTATAGCTCAGCTTAGGATTCATTTTTCTTGCATTTGGTCAATGTTCAGTTTCAATCATGTAACATGATCACTTCAGCTACACAACATTCTTTTACAAACACGGAACACTAAGGTATAGTAGATATTAGACACAAAACTCATATGTGTACAGATAGATGAGTACATGATTAATACAACTTGGTCCCTGGATTTGGATCTGAAGGACAAGCTCTCTTGCTAATCTTTCCTGTTGATTAAGTAAATACAAGTCATTTTCAAATAACAGTTTACTTTTTAACTGCACTAACCAAATGACAGTAAGCAGTTCCTGAAACTTGCCACCTTAGTACTCAAATTGCAAGACATTTTTTTCTTGTAAGCAGTACAGTTTAACTCTATATTGTTCTTTCAAACCCAACTACATACATTTGTGAATAAAATGATTGTATAAACAATGTGATTCAGTCTGTAACATAGTCAGGTGAGCACGACTGTAGCATTTTTTTATTCAATGAAACACTTCACAGCACTCATGCATTAGACAAAACACGCATTTAAGTAGTGTATAAGTAGAAAATACATATACAAGATAAATTTAAAAGGACAGCACACATCCTTGGAAATTCAGCAGCTTTTCACTCAACATTTTTCCACCTATGAGGCACTAGAAAAGCTAGATATGGAAGCTTCATGATTTTACAGAACTATGTTCTACTGCACTGCAAAACTTTACCCTGTAACATATTTTCTTATTTAAGTAGAATGTCCACAAGATTTACTTCAGGTTATTTTAATTATTCACAGTTTTTTTAAAGAAGTAAATCTGTATAATTATGAAACTTTAGGGACTGTTGTTTTTCCAAGTTTCTGAGATAAGAATTTAACAACTGATTTACACATAATTTTCATGTCTTTCATTGGAATATCTGGAGCCACAGGTTGAACATTTTATTAATCCTTACAGCTTTATTATATTAAAGTTATGGTGTTATTTGATATAAAGGCTTAACAATGTTGTTTTCCTTGTAGATTTAACATTATGCTTCATAAATGTGTTAACTATATAGTTTGAATTTGAGTAGAATCACAAAATTGCAGTTCAAGAAAAATATCTATTTTAGTTGTGGCAACATTATACAGGAGAACATAGACAATTGGAGAATTTAAATGCAAAGACATTTCAAACAGTGTAAATGTTATCTTTAACAAATTAAATGAAGTGATGAACACAGCATATTAGAATTCTTTCTCCATATCACGGTGACATAATTGCATAAAATATTCAATCTCTGAAGAATTCTTCATTTATCAATGGTCAATAGTGAGATTACTTCCTATTGAAGGGGTCAGACCAGACTTTCATTCCTATAAACAAAATAGACAAAAAGGTCAAAAATGTGGGGATATTAATGGATGAGATTATACATTCAATGTATTCACATTCAGGAAGACCGGCACAATTAAAATAAAAACCTATATACGGTGAATAAAATTAGAACTAAACATTTGCAGTCAAGTGAAATTTTACTTGAACAGAGCCAAGGTACTATTTGCCAAGAACGAATCATGGATTTGGTAACATTCTGGTAATGTTACTGGACTAGTATTCCAGAGGCCTAAACTAATATTCTACAGTCACGAGTTCAAATCCCCCCACCGCAGCTCAGAAATTCAAGTGGGGTTTATGAAATAAATCTGGAATAAAAGAAAATGTCAATATAAAACTACTGGATTGATGTGAAAACCCAACTAGCTCACTAACATTTTGAAGAAAAGGAAACCTGACGTCTTTATCTGATCTCGCCTATATATCTGGCCAAAATTACAGCAACGTGTTTGACATCTAACTTTACTCAATTACACTAAACCGCTATCAAAAAGAAATAATAAAACTGAATCAATCTCTACTCCTGATCCTAACTATGTTTTTGTATGAAAGTGTTGGCAGAAGAACTCCCACAAAGTCTTTTTGGAGACAGTCACATTTTCATTCCGATGAGACTTTCTATTGTGTGGTATTAACACAGCTAAATAAGATAAATTTGGAACTCATTTCAAGGGGGTTGGAGTATAAGAATAGGGATGTCTTACTGCAACTGTACAAGGTGCTGGTAAGACTACATCGAGTACTTTGAGCAGTTCTGCTCTCCTAACGAAAGCAAAAATATAATTTCATTGGAGGCAGTCCAAAGAAGGTTCACTTGGATGATCCCCAGAATGGAGATTGTCTTATAATCAAAGGTTAAACAGGTTGAGACTCTACTCACTGGAGTTTAGAAGAATAAGAGGTGGTCTCATTGAAACATATAAGATTCTTAAGCGGTTTGATAGGATAAATGCTGAGAGGATGTTTTCCCCTCACGGGAGAATCTAGAACCAGAAGGCATTGTATCAGAATAAAGAGGTGCCAATTTAAGACTGAGATGAGAAGGAATTTCTTCTCTGAGGTTGAGTGTCTTTGGAACAACTTGCAACAAAGAGCTGCGAGGGCAGAGTCCTTACGTATATTTAAGGCTGATGTGTGGGGGAAATCAAGGGTTACAGGAAAAGGGTAGGAAAGTAGATATGAGGAATGTTAGATCAGCCATGATTCTGTTGAATGGTGGAACAGGCTTGAGGCATCAAATGGCCTCCTCCTGTTGCTATTTCTTATGATCTTATAAAACAACTCTAGCAGCTCAAAAATGACACCCATAAGGCAATATAGGATACCTGTTGTGGAAGTATCGATTCTGATCCAGCATATCCCCACAGTGCTGTTGCCATCAGGCAGGTAACAAAATCTGATTCAGTGAGGGATGAACAAAAGCATCCAGGAGTATCACTAGGTGTAGCTTAAAATTACATGTCACCCTGGCAATCCATGACAGGTCCACATGTCTGCTAAAAAGCAGAAGTAGTTTTTTGTTTTTTAAAAATAAAGTTAAGCAATCCTACAACCAGTGAATCAGGCCAAAGCTCTGGAGTCCTATCACATCCCGTAATGATTAGTGATAACAGAATTAAGCAAATAAGAGGAGCCTCCATTTACATTTGTTACAAGCAATACCTACATGCTACAAATTACAGAAATAAAACTAAACTGTGATTCTGTTAACTGCATCAAAATAAAGCAATGCTATTTGGGTTAAATTTGCAGAATATCTGTCCAAGTAACAGACTCATCAATCACATTTTAAACACAAATGTAAACAATCCTATAGGTTAACTTTGTTTACTGCATTTTTATTTTATTTTTATAGAATCCCTACAGTGTGGAAACAGGCCATTCGGCCCAACAAGTCCACACTGCCTCTCCAAAGAGCATCCCACCCAGACCTATTCCCCTACCCCTGCATTTTCCCATGTCTAACCCGCCTAACCTAAACATCCCTGGGCACCATGGGCAATTTAGCATGGCCAATCCATCTAACCTGCACACCTTTGGACTGTGGGAGGAAGCCGGAGCACCACGGGGAGCATGTGCAAACTCCACACAGGCAGTCGCCAGAGAGTGGAATTGAATCCGGGTCCCTAGCGCTGTGAGGCAGCAATGCTAACCACTGAGCCACCACGCCACCCTTGATGTTTATTAGGCAAAGAAAAACACAAGACAATATGAAGATTATGTGGTCTGCGAGTATATACACTGGTCTAACCTCAAGACTGAGGTTAATGGATGATTTGTTTTATATTAAAGTAAATAGAATTTTAAATAAGGTGTCTGCATTTTACTCTCCTATGATAAATATAGAAATGCAGAAAATAGGAGTAGGAGGTAATTTGACTCTTCGAGCCTGCTCCACCATTCAATATGATCTTGGCTTATCCTCTAACTCCATACCCTGTTTTCTCACTATGCACTAAGATATAAATCTCACAGCTAAAATATCAAAGTCCTTCTTGATAACATTCAATGTTTTGGCCTCAACCACTTTCTGTGGCAGAGAACATACAGTGCCTCTATATACTTACCTCCAGGCTGAATTTCCTCCTGCTTTATTCCAGTTCGGTTCACCTTTTGTTCCTGCCCTGTTTTAGAAGCAGTCAAGTAATTATTTTGCATTCGTTCCAACATAACATTGATCCCAGGGGAGGCAGTGCTAATGTCATTGAATTCATAATCCAGACGGCCAGACTAATATTGTGGTGACATGGAACTGAATCCCACCGGTGCAAATGCTACACTTTGAATTCAGTCAATAGATATAAAATTAATAACTAGTTTCAAGATGACCATTGTCAAAAGCAGCCCATCTAGTTCACTAATGTTTTAGGAAGGAAACCTGGCCTACATGTGATTCCAGGCACACAACAATGTGGTTGACTCTTAAATGTGATCTGAACAGACTGAGCAAGTCATTTAGTTGTATCAAACCACCATGAAGTTGAAGAAAATTGAATAGACAACCAAGCATCGACCTAGGCACTGGGGTGACAATGACAAACCTGTTCACCCTGCAAAGTTCTGCTTACCAAAAGCTAAGGAATTGTCAAAATTGAGACAACTGCCCCAAAGACTAATCAAGCGACAGCCTGACACAGTCAAACTCATGGAATCATACCCCACAGAGGAAGTCCTAGATACCATCATCACCATTCCAGAGTATGCCCTGTCAACAAACTGACCCACCAAATGTGGAGACCAAGTGGTATAGAGTTGGGAAAGATTGAACTGGAGTCCTTAATATTGATGTTGCATGGCATCAGGAAATGATCATTTTCAGCCAAAAGTGCCAATCCATCACTGGCTCATCCTAAGGTGCCCAGCATCATAGATGCCAATCAATTCAGTACACATGAAATCAAAAAATAGCTGAAGAAATTTGCTATTACAAATGGTATGGGCCCTACTAATATTCTAACAACAGTACCAAATAGCTAACCTGTTCAAGTATAGTAAATGCTGTCATTTACTCAACAATGTAGAAAATTAGCAGGTTGCTTTGTCCACAAAGACAGGACAAAACAATCCAGCAAAAGTGATTGCCCTTAACATCAAGATGTATTCAACGGAGTTTGGCATCATGGAGCTCCAGCAAAATTAGAGTCAATGGGAAGTTAAGGGAAAACTCTACACCAGTTTATTTACACTATTACAAACGAAGATGGTTGTGGTTTGAGGTCAATCATCTCACTCAAAGGACTTCACTGCAGGAGTTCCTCAGTGTAGTGTTCTAGGTCCAGTTGCCTTCAGCTGCTTCATCCACCACAAGGATACAGTGGGATTGGGAGTAGATTTCCACAACATTTAGCACCATTTGCCAACCTCAGTTACTGAAGTAAACCATGACTGAAAGCGCCAAGACCTAGAAAACATTCAGGCTTGAACAGACAAGCGGCAAGCAACATTTGTATTACATAGATGCCGGGCAATAATCATCTCCAACAAGAGAAAATCTAACCATCTCTCCTTGACACAGAATGGCATTATCATGACTGAATCCCCCATTAATAACACCCTGGGGGTTACCACTGACCGTAAACTGAACTGCAGCAGGTATAATAACTACTGTGGCTATAAGATTAGGTCAGTATTGGTCTCTGTGATGCAACTGGGGTGGGGTGGACGTGGGGGGGGACGGGGGGAGGGGAGGTGGAGTGCCTGCGAGAGAAACATGAATGGGAGCAAGAATAGGCATTCGTCCCATGGAACTCAGTCCACCATTCAACAAAATCACTGATGATCCCCCATTTCAACACCCTGGTACTGCTCGCCTTCAGAAATGTATTTCCTTTTAACACACATTCAGTGACCTGGCCTTCACGGACTTCTGTGGTAGAGAATTCCACAGATTCATCACCCTGAGCAAAGAAAACTCTCCCCTTTCTGCCACATATCCTAAGGCCGTGACCCTTATTCTGGACCCTCGGCCCAGGGGAAACATCATCATCACATCCAGAGGGAATGAGGAGGGGCACACAACCCGAGTCCAGACAGCAGGAAAGGGTGGGAGTTAGAGCTGGTAACCAGCCGTATCCGCACCGACCGTTCCACCTCCGCCGCAGATTGTTTCTCTCACTCACTGTACTGCTCGGTGTAAATCAGCGGCCGAAAGTAGATGGGGTAAAAGGCGGCTCCCAACAGAGCGGCGAAGCCACCGAACAACAAGACCACACGCGCATGCCCAGCCATGGTGCACGCGGACAGAGCGGAATGGACGATTCTTCCGCCCCGACAATTACATCCGATATCCGTCTCAGTACGCGCGTGCGCGAGATGTCATGTGACCGGGTGCACGGCCGCCACCTTTGAGACGGGCAATTCCCACCGAATGGAATCTTAGCACACTCTGCTCCACTGCGCACGCGCTGAGTCCAGTCTGTTTTCTTTCTGATTGTTGCCATCTCCCTTCTTCAAATAGTTTGCCAACCACATTTTCTAACCCGGTGGCTTAATGTCATAAAGCATTTCTTGCCGTGGATAGTTCATACGTTCACTTCTCAGTCACTGAAAACAACGATGCCTGGCTCCTCCTCCTGAGGAATTAGAATTAGATTTTACTGTCAACTGTTCTGAAGTACAGGGATACAGGAGTACAGTGAAAAGTGTACAAAGTCACCATTCCCGGCATCATCTTAGGTACAAAGGCACTCGGTACAACATCTTAGGTTTTCCTCATTTTCCGCTTGGGGACCCTGCAGCCCTCCGGACTCAATATCGAGTTCAATAACTTTAGGGCCTAAACTCTCCCATGTCCTCATCCTCTACCCCTACCCCATGCACCAGGTCTTGTTATCACGTAGCTTGCCATTACACAGTACCTAGTGTTAGTCACTAACTGTCCCCATTAACAGCTATTCAGCCTCCCAGCCAGATCATCATCAACTCCTTCGTCTATCCAACAGCTCTTCTCTCTGGGCTCTATCCCTACTTATAGTTTACTCCCTACCCCTCCCCCTCCCTATCTTCTGCATATAATCGGACCATTTCCTAGCTACCATCAGTTCTAAGGAAGGGTCACTGGACCCAAAACATTAACTCTGATTTTTTTTCTTCACAGATGCTGAGTTTTTCCAACAACTTCTATTTTTGTTCCTGATTTACAGCATCCATGGTTGTTTTGGTCTTTACACAATATGATTGAATTTGGTATGATAGATGACACAACGATAGCGAGGAAAGTATGTTGTAAAGAAGACATCAGGAAGTTGCAGATAGGTATAAATAATTTGAGTGAGTGGGCAAAAATCTAGCAGATGGAATCTAATCTGGGAAAATATGAAGTTGTTCATTTTGCTGGGAACAGTAGGCAAAGCAGAGTATATGTTTAATGGCAAGTAACAGGGAGGCAATGGTATAGTGTTATTATTGCAGGGACCCAGATAATGTTCTGGGGACTGAAATAACTCCACGGAGGCCAGTATCCCACCACCACGTAACCCTTTATTTGTACATGGAGAGTCCTTGACATTGGTCCTCAGAGCCAGCCCTTTGAGTGTACAGGATGTCTGACATTCCTGTTTATATCTGTCAGCCATGGCTCCCTGATTGAACCAGGCTAATAGCAGCTAACCTGAGTTAGAATCACGCCATGGCATATACTGGAATTCAACTTCAATAAAACCAAACTTGTCCACTAATGATCTTCTAATGTTGGAAAAGAAAACTGCCATCCTTATCTGGTCTGGCCTACATGTGACTTCAGACCCTCAACAACAACGTGTTTAACTCTTACCTGCCGTCTTAATGGCTAGCAAACCACTCAGTTCAAGGGCAATTAAGAATGGTCAACAAATTCTCGCTCAGCTAGTGAAACCTACATCCCATGAATGAATTAAAGAAAAACTGCAGAATCCTGAAGTGCCGAAGGATTTAGATGATCTGGTGCATGAGTCACAAAACATTAGTGAGCAGGTACAGCAAGAAAGATAATGAGATGTTGTCGTTTATTTCGAGAGAAATTAATGACAAAAGTAAGAAAGTTATGAGTCAATTATGCAGGACATTGGTGAGACCACATCTCAAATGCTGTGTGTAGCTTCATCTTCTTATTAAAGGAGAATGTAACTGCATTGGAGGCAGTTCAGAGGAGGTTAATTAGATTGTTAACTAGAATGAGTGACTCACCTTTTGAGGA